AGCTTTGGCTAATTTTAGTTTGAATCATGCATCGCCAAAATATTATCACAGCACTTTAACTATAGGCAAAACATGTTTTAAAAAATGAGCAAATCTAAAGTGTCTAATGCTAGACACACATTTTCAACTAGTTTCTTTCTGAAAAACTTTCATCAGATGCAATGATCACAAGATACAATCAGATATGATCACAACAGATACAATGATACAAAACAGTAATCCGAAAGTAGAAGTAACTTCCTTTAGTTCTAGAGATCTGCATTTTCATTCTCAGGTTTAATACTATTTGCAAATACCTGACAGGATAACGTCCACTATCACAACAATATATCACCTCAATATAAAGCAGTCCTTAGATTAGATCTTAAGATAGGTAGCCCAGGAGGAAGCATTCTCACTCATCTGTTCAGTAAATACTTACCAACCACCTATTACATGCCAGGCACTGGACAGAGTACCAAAATATAAAGACTCTTACACTTGTGTAACTTTTAGTTTGTTTATTGTCTGTCACCCCTCAGAGACATACACAAGACGAGACCATGAAGAGCTGCACTAAGGAATCTGGATTTTATTCTAAGTGTGGCCAAAAGCCACTGAAGAGTTTTAAGCAGAGGACTGACATGATCTGAGTTAGGCTGTGAGAAGGCCACTCAGGAGAATGGCCATTGTGTGGAGAACGGAGGGAACCGAGTGAGGAGGCTAACAGCGAACTCAAGCAAAAGAGGGCTGGCTTGGAGTAGTGACTGTAAAAATGGAAGTAGACAGATCCAACGTCAGAGTCTTGGTGGCCCCCAGTCTTGACTTGGAACTCTTTTACCGTTTTGGGCAAGTTACTTCAAGTCTTTGAGCCTCAGTTTCCTTACTTAGCAGTGCTTGTAAAGCCCTAGCACACAGAAAACACACAATAAATTATGATGATACTACTTTGGTAACAAAATTCATCTGAATGAGGTTCACACAGACTGACTTTCCTTTCCCCCACACCAACATTAATCTTAACATAGGTAATTTTTACCAAGATTCAAGTGCAGTTATATGCAAGTATTCACTGACTCCATTAAAAGACAAGTTGCTGTTTCTCACAGAACTTACACTAAAACAACTGCTCATAAATATACATTGAACAAGGTGTTTTTCTCAAATTAATAAAAGTCTAGTTTGCACCTTCAATTTGCGTTTTCACATGCATTCTTTTATTTTCTCAGTGTTTATGAGTAAAAAGGCTACAAGGAGAATCTTGTGGTTAAATTGTGATAAAGATTATGGTGTTACTACCAATTATCTTAATTTTTTTCTGTCAATAGCTTTCATTTAAAACTTTATTAAGGGATGGCATTCCTCATTCTTACAGCACTGAAACACCAGAAAACTAAGATACTAAAAGCTCTCTTTTATAAGTATATGGATCATAAACACATCTATCTGTAGCTTCCCCTTACATTTAATATTCTTTCAACAAAGGATGACCCACCCTGAAAATGTGTCATATTCGATCACTCAGTATTTACTAAGCAGGAGCTATGGGCAAGACCATGCACTAGGCACTATGGGAGGGCACAGGGCAGTGTGATATCATCCCTACCCTCAAGGAGTTTACAATCTAGCGAGGAGACTAGGTATTCACATATGAAAAGGAGGGAGAGGAATGCAGACAGAACTACCAGTATCAAAAATAAAGATGGGCCGGCCCTGTGGCTTGGTGGTTAAGTGCGCGCGCTGCGATGCTGGTGGCCCGGGTTCGGATCCCGGGTGCGCATCGAGGCACTGCTTCTCCGTTCATCCTGGGGCCGAGTCCCACATGCAGCAACTGGAAGGATGTGCAGCTACGACACACAACTATCCACTGGGGCTTTGGGGGGAAAAAATAAAATAAATAAAATCTTTAAAAAAAAAACAAAAATAAAGAGATCACTTTCAGTTAGGGTGGTCAAAAAATGCTTCACAGCTAGGTGGCAATTGAGCCGGACCCTTGGGTAACAGGATTTTGATATAATTTGCTAGGAAGAAAGCAAGCACAAGAAACCAGAGAACAGCATGAACTTACGTGCAGGGGCTTTTTTTCCCCCCAGCTCTTTATTATGAAAAATTTAAACATGTAAAACTATGCAGACTAAAATAATAAATCCCCATGTACTCATCACTGAGCTTCAACAATGATCAACTAACAGCCAATCTTGTTTTATAATTTATATGTATTATACGAAAATCCTAAAGGAATCTATTTTCATATGCTTCTACATTCTTCACTGACTCCATCCTCAGACAAATCTATACTGCGACAGTAGTCTCCACAAGGTTGATTTTCCTAAAGGCCACATAAAGATAAAGTGCAAGCCTATTTAAAAAAAAAAAAAAAAAAAAAAATCAGGGGCCGGCCCGGTGGCATAGTGGTTGAGCGCACGCGCTCCGCTTCAGCGTCCCGGGGTTCGCAGGTTCGGATCCCAGGCGCGCAGTGACGCACTGCTTGTCAAGCCATGCTGTGGCAGCGTCCCATAAAAAGTAGAGCAAGATAGGCACGGATGTTAGCCCAGGGCCAATCTTCCTCAGCAAAAAGAGGAGGATTGGCATCAGATGTTAGCTCAGGGCTGATCTTCCTCACACACAAAAAAAATCAAATCTTGATTGTTTGCATAAACCAAAGGAACAGTGACAAAGATGATAATCCAAAACTCAGGTTACATGTACTTTGGGAACACTTTTTCCATATTTATATTTCAATGAGAATGAATAAAACAACGGGAGAATTCACGTCAAACAAAATTAAGCACCACAGGTGAAGTGTCCTGGACAAATCACTTTGCCTCCTGAGCCTAAGTTTCCTTCTCTATAAAACAAGGAACGATCACCTACCTCAAACACTTGTGAGGATTAAATGAGTGTATATTAAATGCCACATGGATTGTTCTTCATATTATTATGTTACCTGGTTGACTCAGGAAGAACTAAAAAGCTGCCTGGTTTCCTAATCCTCTCCCCTCATACACCACTCTCTCTCAGGATGAGGTAAACACTTTATCTCAAAACATGCTAAAGGTGAGGGGCTAAGCATTCTGATTTCAAGAAACTTCTTTGCCTGTAAAGAAAATACAGTCGACCCTTGGTATCCGTAGAAAATTGGTTCCAGGACCCCCCTCAACCCCTCGCAAAATTCATACCAAAATTCATGGATGCTCAAATCCCTTACATAAACTGGCATAGTACTTGCACGTAACCTACGCACATCCTCTTATATACTTTAAATCATCTCTAGATTACTTATAATACCTGATACAACGTAAATGCTATGTAAATAGTTGTTTACTGTACTGTTTAGGGAATAATGACCAAAAAAAGTCTGTACACGTTCAGTATAGACACAACCATCGTAGGCTTTTCAATCTGTGGTTGAATCCACGGATGCGCAACCTGTGGATACAGAGGGCAGACTGTAAAGGGAGCTGAGATTGAGGGAGGTATTTTAGTAGGGTAAATCTTGTAAACTATCAAATGTCACAAAATAATTCCCCCTTAACTAGTAGAGCCGTCCAACATCACACAGATGTAGAGTGTGGCCAACCTACCTAGGAGAACACTCTCATTTACCCCATTTCCCGGTCACTGTGTTTACTCTTTCAACCATCCACGGCCTCTATACGGCACAGTAGAAACAGCAGGGCAGCTGTCAGGACTCTCAGCTGGGCCAGAGCATTAAGATGACTTAGCTATCACAAGGCAGGACAGGAGCACCTCTACCTTCATTTTTTCCTCTGTCCATAAGAAAGCGCCAACCCTCATCTTTGTTCCATATCACCTGCTGCTGCAAGGCAGCTCACTGTTGCTCAAAACTATCAAATGAGTTCAAACCTTTTTAAAAATACATATGCCATCAGATCTGTTCACCAAGATTTCAATTCTTCCTTGAGCATTACTTTCTTTCAATCTCTCAGTTAGCTTCTTTTTGAGACTGTATATACATCACTCAAGTTCCCTTCTGAGTTATCATCCTCAATTGCCAATCCTCTTTCCCTATGTGAAGACACAATGAGTTCCTGACTTATCATAACCTCAACCACCCCAATCACCCACTCAGCTAAGGCCTTCTCCCTAAAATCATTCTTTATTTTCAGATATTACCCGTTTCTTTGCTGTTTCCCTAACATAATTATAATATAGTAAAATACAGCACTTGACAGGTTGCCACACGCTTTGTAAAGTTATTCATTTAATCCTTACAGCCTATGAAAAAGGTAATTCCCCTATATTATAGATAAGGAAAAAAGAATGGAGAACTTACTATCTTGTCTAGTTATAAAGCAAGTCAGTGGCGAACCAGACCTCCAAACCAAGTCTCCAACTCCGAACGCCATGGTCTTCCCACTCTATTACGCTCTTTTCTAAGAAAGGAAAGCCTACAGTTCTGTCCCAAACCACATTTGCTTCAAAGAGTAAACCATCTTCGAAGAATCTCTTTAGATTACAACCAGATTTCTCAACCCCACACCTACAACCATTCCATTTCTTGCTCCCTCACCCTCCAGCTATTACTTCCTCCTCAATATCCAATTTCCACTCTTCGCGCGTATTATCATCACTCCTTCCACCCCTCCTGCAAATGTTCCACTCATGCATGCTAAAGGGAGGCCTCTCATTCCCCTTTCCCCAAACCTCGGCACTTTTTTCTCGGGATAAGTATGTTCTCACTCCATAAACTACATACTACGCTTTTCAGTCCGTAACAAGCTATTTAATAAAGTCCCATAAAAATGAATATAACTTGCAGATCCTCTATCTCCATACTTGACCCAGGGCACCGCGCCACTGCAAAATTCTGAATGACAGAGTACCAACCCTGAAAAAGATCCTGCCCATGCCCCACTGTCACTAATGACTTCCCTTCCAGAATCTGGTTATCCAAACAGGCTCCCCCTCTAACCTCTTCACCAGAGACTCCCCTTCGTGGTTCCCCAGACTCTCTCCTTCCGCGGTTTTCCTTCCCTCCCACCTGGGCCTCTGCTCACCTCACCGACTCTCCCTGCACTCCCATCCCAGTGCTAAGCTTAAGCAGCCCCAGTGGAGGCGGCTCCTCCCCTCTCACAACTTCCAAGTTCGGCCTCTTATCACCTGTTCTCACCACCTTCCTCTCGGCCCAGTGGCCCACCTTTGCCCCAGCCCGCCTCTCCCCACCCTTTCAATTCCTCCTGCCCAGGAGCCACCCCCTCGAGTCAGTTCCGGGGTGCCCGTGGGATTCAACTTCCCAACCGTGAGCTTCCCACCGCCAGGGTCACGCTCCCCTTCTCCATCACCTGCTCCGCCCAAGACCAGATGACATCCGCCGCGGCCGCCGCCGCCTCCTCCGCCATCCCCCTCCTCGGACGCGGGTCCCCGGCCGCTCACCGCCGTCCCCGAGCGCCAGCCGCCCCCTCTGGTGGGGACGAGGGGGGCGTGCACCCCCAGCCCGCCGCCCCCCCGCC